CAGTTCAGGCTGGCCTTGGCTCCTGGCCAACGATTATATTATTCTTTTTGGGGGGGTACCAAGAATCGAACTAATGACCTTGTGCTTGCCAGGCAGGCGCTGTGCCGCTGAGTTAAATCCCCAGCCTCCAGTTGTATTATTCTTGATCAGCATTCACTATAAAGTGTAAGGAGAGCTGGGTCCGCAATCTAAGCATTCAGAAGGCTGAGGCAGAGGGACTGCCTCGAGTTTGTGGCCAACCTGGGCTATGTAGGGAGACTTGTCTCAAAGCAGAACAAAATAAAACAGTATAAGGAGAGAAAGAAAAGCTGTGCATCTGTGCCGGAAAGGACCTTGATCCTGGGTCCTCGGTCACCGCTGAGCACACCTCTCTCTCCCCCTCGCCCAATCCCGGGGCGCTGCGCCGCCGGCCAGCATTTAAATGCAGCGCAGCTGTGCAATCGCGCAGTTCCTTCTCGCCAAGTAGAGGGAAGCCAGAGCCGCTGTCTTCCGGCCAAACAGGTTTGTGCAGGGCCGGACAATGGAGTCAATGGACGCGAGGCTGACTCTGGCCACGCCGGAGCCAGCTGGGAAGAACAGCGCGAAGAAGTACAAGCGCATCTGCGCGGTGAGTACAGCTGTCCGCCCCGCCTGGCGCCCCGGAGCCCGCATCGGGTGGCTGTGCCCGTGCACAGGTGCACTGCAGCCGGTGCCTGGAGTCCAGGCGACACAGGCGTCGTCAGCCGCATCCCCCGAGAGAGAGCGGCCACAGGTTAACGCTTGATCACCGGTCAGGCTCTGTACAGCGCCGGGCTCTTTGACATTTTTATGCTGCGTGAATAGTTTAAGACCAATGAGGGGGAAATTCAAATCAGAGCAGCTCATAGTCTTCATTGAACTAGTTTCTTATTTTTCTTAAACTCCGGAGGCAGTCAGTCTCCTCTGCCTAACCCCTCTTTCGTGTCTTTTTATGGGGTATGATCCCCCCCCCATAAAAAATAAAATCACAGCTGTCCTTGATGTTCTGACTCTCTCCTTCCCTTCTCCATGGAACTTCTGGAGAAGGAGGGCTCTGTCCACTGCCTCAGTGTCCTCAGCACCCAACCACCCCTCAGGCTCTGGCTTTGCTACTCTGCTAAAGCCAGGGCTCCCATTCCTGAGAGAGTAACCCTCCTTCCTGCTCCTCCTCCTCCTCCTCCTTCTCCTGAGCGGCCAGAACAATGCATGCAAATTGTCCAACCCTCCCTCCCTCTCTCTCTCTTTGGTTTTTGAGACAGGGTCTCCCAGGGCATGGTGATGCACGCATGTAATCCGAGCACTTGGGAGGCTGAGGCAGGAGGATCACTGCGAGTTCAAGACCAGCCTGGGCTACAAAGGCTGGAGGCCAGTCTGAACTGCATAGACAGACTCTGTCTCAAAAAAAAAAAAAAAAAAGATATTGCTTGAGACAGGGTCTCACCATGAAAGGCTGGCCTCAAACTCACAGTGATCCTACTATCTCAGCCTCCTGAGCACTGGGGTTACAAGTGTGCACCACCTTCCAGGCCAATTTATCTTTCTCCTCATTGCACGTATCCCATAACCGTTTCCCGAAGCCCATCTAGAGATCTGAAGGGGCTGTGCCAGCCACACACAGGCAGCCTGCTGTCGTCGAAGTCCTGTCTGCCCCCGGGGCTTCTCTAGTTTCCAGTCCGCCTCCTGCTCCTCCGCAGTCTCCAGGCAAAACCCATAGCCCTCTCCACTGAGTTTCCCCTTGTGTGCCCTCTGCAGCCTCATCCTAAACTCCTGCCCAGGAGAATGCTCACGGGCTGTCTCTCTCTCTCCCTCTCTTCCTCTCTCTTCTAGCTCTCTCTCCTGTTTTTTAAGTACTGGAGCTTTTACAGTGAGCTACATGTACCCAGGTCTTTTTATTTTGAGGGTCTCGCTAAATGGCTAAGTTGCCACCTCTGGGCTTGAACTTGTGCTCCTCCTGCCTCAGCCTCCCTGAGTGCCTCACAGGGCTCTCTCCAGCATCACTAAGAGGATTAATGAGACAATGTGCGTCAGCACCAAGCCTCCTGACTATAGCAAAATAAATTCTCAGTATCCTCCACTTTTTGTGTGCGTGTGTTTTTGAGACAGGGTCTCACCAAGCAGTTCAGGCTGGCCTTGAGCTCACTTATGTAGCCTAGGCTGGTCTCGAACTCACAACAATCCTCCCGCCTCAGCCTATTCCATGCCCGGCCTATTCCACTTATTCTGTATCCCTCGGGGAATTTTTATTTATTGGTTTTTTTGAGACAGAGTCTCACTGTGTACCCCAGGCTGGCCTCAGACCTGTGACAACCCTCCTGCCTCAGCCTCCTGGGTGCTGGGATTACAAACCTGAGCCTGTGCTTTGCACTGTGGTGATGGTGCTACAAAACCCTTGCTTAAGTCCTTCGTGTGCCTGTCTCCCAGCCCTACCACCCAGTGCTTATCAGGGACATCGTGGGCTGTGGAGGACAGGGAAGGGCCAGGTGGCACCACAGCTTGATGGAATTGCAGCCTAAAGTCCGCAGCCAGGACCTCATCACAGCGCTGAGGGAGCTGCGAGCCAGCCTTGGTCAGCAGCTTCCAGAACTGCGAGTGCAGGGCACGTTCTGTGCTCAGACGCGCCGTGGGCTGGCACTAGAGTTACACAGGCTGAGTGCCGTCCTCCACTGGTGGATGGAGAAGGACCACAGAGCACCTCTGCGTCCTAGGATTGAGGAAGTTAAGGACGTCACAGCTCTGCAGTGAGTTCGATGCCTTTACAGAAAGGATCTCCAAGGAAATGCCTAGTTAAGAAAGAAAAAAAAAAAAAAAAAAAAACGAGCTGGGCGGGGTGGCACACCCCTATAATCCTAGCACAGGGAGGATCACTGTGAGTCTGAGGCCAGCCTGGGCTACACAGGGAGTTCAAGGCCAGCATGGACTACATAGTGAAATTTTGTCTCAAAAAAGCAATAAATAAAAAAAAAGAAAATGAGTAAAAAATGGACAAAGGTAAAAGGCTCCCTCAGGTCTTGGGGATTTATCCCTGGGACCCTATAGTCCCAAGCTATTCTCCAGCCCTTTTTATATTGAATTTTGAGGCAGGGTCTTGCTAAGTTTTCTTCAAACTTGTGATCCTCCTGCTTCAGCCTCCTGAGTAGCGGGGACGACAGCATGGACCCACTTGCCTGGTTTTAATTTCATCTGGGTTAAGCTTGTGGTTGAACAAGGAAAGTATCTCAATTTGGAGATCTCTAATAAGTGGTATTTTGAAATGTCTCTGATCTTTCAGGCATTAAACAAGTCACACACCTCTGTCTGGTCTCCTGCATGGCTGGCGAGACAGCTGGTTATTTTTCATTACTTTTTTTGTTTTTTTTTTTTTTTGTCTTTTTGAGACAGGGTCTCGCTATGCAGTTTAGGCTAGCCTTGAGCTCACTTTGTAGCCCAGGATGATCTCGAATTTTCGATCCTCCTGCCTCAGCCTCCTGAGTGCTGGGATTACAGGCGTGCACCACCACGCTCAGCCTTACATTAAAAAAAAAATCTTAAGGTGACTCTTCCTTCCTTCCCGTAGGTTCTCCTGGCTTTGCTGGTGATAGTGACACTTGGATTAGGCTTGGGACTTGGGCTGAGAAAACCAAAGAAGGAAGAGCAAGGTACATGCAGCCCCAGTGTCTTCCAAACTCCAAGCTCTTCCTCCTCTTCTTGCTCCTCGTCCTCCTCAGCCGCCCAGACTTCCTCACCTGCGCTCCTGCCACCTTCTCTGCCCCATAGCTCTGAGCACAGGGCCCAGCCCTGCTTGCATTATCACCCTGATTTCTGCACTTTACTCTTTGCCCTCCTGCAAGAAGCTGCCCCAGGAGATTTCAGTCGCCCATCCCAGGAGCTCTAATAACCGGTCGCCAGCATTCTGTCCCAGCTCAGCTGTGACCCTAAATCCTGTGACAAAGGGTCCAGCCACTCGGCAGCCAAAGGTCCTTCACTCTCTGAGGCTTCTGCCACCTCCTCTTTACCTTAATTCATTCCCTGTTAGAACTGTTTGGTCTCACACCGGGTGTGGTAGTGCACACCTGTAATTCCAGCACTGAGGAGGCTGAGGCAGGAGGATTGCTGCAAACTCGAGGCCAGTCTAGATTACACAATGAGTTCAAAGCCAGGCTGACTACATAAAAGACAAAAAAAAGAATTAACATTCAGTTAATACTGTGGGACACAGAAGGAGTGAACGGCGACTGTTGGCTAGAAAGCGCCTTTCTTCTCTCATCAGCTGGCTGGTGTGTTTGGACAGTGGTGCGGACACTGTCATGGGTCTTGGCGGGCCGTGTGAACGGGATTCTGACGTCCGCTGCATAAAAACAGACACCATTTCTGGTTTTTTTGAGACAGGGTCTTGCTATGTAGCCCAGGCTGGCCCTGAATTCACAGTGACACCACCCCCTCTCCTTCGGCCTGTCCTTTAATGGCTTGTCCTGTCAGGCTCTGGGTGCGGCTCATGAACCTGACCCCTCCCTGCCCCATCCCTACCTTTGAGCCCAGCCCCTGGCCGCTGGGCCCCACCCTCTGTCCCCCAAGCTTGACCTTTCTTGCCTGGCTTGCTCTCGGCCTGCCCCTGTGTGTCCCCACGTACATCAGTGTCCCTTAGTTATTGTGTCACCTGGCGATGCTCGCACCACCCACCCCGTCCCCCTAAGCTGACCAGGCACCGCTCTGCGCCCTCTGGGCAGAAGCCCGGTGACTTCTGCACGTGCTGTCCTCTGTCCTCTATTTTACAGGCAGCTGCAGGAGAAGATGCTTTGAGGCTGAGTTCCGAGGCCTGGAGGGCTGCCGCTGCGACTCGGGCTGTGAGGGCCGAGGCGACTGCTGCTGGGACTTTGGCAATAGCTGTGTGGAGCCAAGTAGGACTTAGCGTCTGGCTGTGCTGTCGTGCATGGGTGTCCGGCTTTACCAGCACACACATTAGTTTCCTGGGGCCACCATAGCAAACGGGGCAGCTTACAAAACAGAAATCCGGCCAGGTGTGGTGGTGTGCACTTGTGATCCCAGAACTCAGGAGGCTGAGGCAGGAGGATGGCCATCCTGAACTACTCAGTGAGACCCTGTCTCAAAGAACCAAACAAACAAAAACAAAAATCACTCAACAAATCCCTTGCCTCAGTTCTGGAGGCCAGAAGTCCAAGGTCTGGGTGTCCATCTCTCCTCGCTGGGTTAGTGGCAACAATCCCGTGCTCTCTGGTTGGTGGCAGTGTTACGAGGCACCTGGACTCAGTTTCCCCTGATATCTAGGCTGTTTGTATCCTCAGTGTCCACCCTCAAGAACAGAGGGCGGGCAGCACCCAGGGACAGCAAGGGCGGTAAGTTCTGGCCTGGGTGTCTGTTTGTGCACCTAGACTTTGGGGAGTGGCCGGGGTGGTAACTCACTTGGCTTTCCCCAGTCAGCTGAGTCTCCACTGCACTTCAGGAGCAGGAGTTGGTGAGCTTACCTGGGCCTAGATGTAGACGGAACCAGCCTGGCTGCCAAAGCCCACCCTGGGTTTTACATCTCCAATGCTGAGCCAGGTGTGGTGGCACCTGTCTGTCATGGGGGAGGCTGAGGCAGGAGGATGGCTAGAAGTTCAAAGCCAGCCTGGACTAGGTAGTGAGATCATTGCTGGTGGGAGGAATTCGCACACCCACGGCGGAGACTTGGGGAAAAAGGAAAAGACCGGTGGCCGGTTCAGCTCACCAGGACAGGTTGTTGCAGAAGAAACCTGCGAGGGGGCGCTGTGGGCGGCGAGCGCTCCAGCCGCTGGCGCAGGCGGTGGGGCTTGGGAGGGCGCGGGCAGGGGAGCTGAGGGTGAGCGGGCCAGGAGCAGCGAGGCTGGGAGGGGCGGCGTGGAGGGGTCTCGGATCAGGATGCGGGGTTCAGGCTCCTTCAGAGATGCGGGTGGAGACTCAAGAAGACTACACAGAAATTCCCCTGCACCCAGGGCGCATTTTCAGGCTCGGGTCACGGTGTCCGCGCACGCGGAGGCAGCGGCAGGCACAGCTCCAAGCTCCTCGCCCCCTGCCTCAGGCACGGCGCCAAGCGCGCCTCGCCCCGGGCTCTGTCTGCACCGGCCCCCTCTGCGCTGTCCCTGCCCGCGGTCCCCTCCCAGCAGGGCACGGGCCGCTCCCGGGGAGACTGGGTGACCCTGGTCGCGCGTGCCAGCGCCGCCGAGCGGTCGGGCCCGCTGTGCTCTGCGGAGGCCCCGCTGTTTTCAGGGTTTAATACCCAGGCGTCCAGGGCAGGGGCGCCTAGTGGTCGGGGCGCGCGGATGGAGCAGCAGAGTCCTTGCTCTTCCCTGGAAGGGCCCGAGGAGATGACCCGCTGGCGCCAGCGATCTCTGTCCGCTCTCCTTTATCGCCCCAATCTTTCCTTTCTGAGTAGTAAGTGATAGAGAAGGCAGAACTCTGCGCGCAGGAAAGCACAACACTCGCCCGCCCAAGGAGTTTGGCTACACGCAGAGCAGAGGTGGATTTTGATCTCTGTCTCCTACCTAGCAGGTGGCAGCAGGAAGCAAATTTACACCAGCCTCTTGCCACTATTTAAAATTTAATTTAGTTTTTGAGATAGGGTCTTGCCACGTAGTTCAGGCTGGCCTTGAACTTGTGGCAATCCACCTGCCTCAGCCTCCTGAGTGCTGGGATACAGATTCGCACCACCACACTCCGCTTTTCTTGCCGCTTTGAGCAAGGGAATTTATTTCAGCTGCTGTCACACTGAGTGGAAAGCCTAAGAGGACCCGGAGGCGGATTTGGGGAGACCTGCCTTCTGGGGAGGCGCTGTGTGGGGTCCCGCAGACACAGCGCTTGCGGTCCGCGTCCTCCTCGCCCGCTGTCCTTGGATGAGGCTGGGCAAAGCTGCTCCCCGGTGGCTGCGACAGCCCTGCGGTGGGAAAAGGACCCTAATCAGAGCCTCTCTAAGTCAGAGCGGCCTGCGGGCTGGGCCGGCAGCTTTGTATACTTTTCTCGGAAACCCGTGCTCAGAAGAGCAGTCGTGAATTGCTTGTTTCGTGTGTGTTTTCATCGATCGATGCAAGGAATTTTACTGCCTTATAACAATACAGGGAGAAATGCATGACATTTGCGTTTTGTTTATTACACTGAAAGTACATCCAGTTCCCAGAACTGACGCGGTACTTTTGCAGCCCGGATATGGACCTGCAACCTGTTCCGCTGCGGCGAGCGGCGTCTGGAGCGCAGCCTGTGCTCCTGCGCGGACGACTGCAAGCAGCGCGGGGACTGCTGCGCCAACTACGGGAGCGCGTGCCTAGGTGAGAGCATGCAGGCGCCGCGCGGGCCTCCCAGAGGCCTCCGGGGCTGCAGCGATGTAGGGAGGAGAGGGGAGCTGCAGGTCTGGGGTCTGACAGCCGGGGCGGAGCAACTGCCCTGCCTGAGTCTAAGGCTGAAGACCCTGCAGGAGCTGGTGTAGACTCCGGGAGAGAGTTCAAATTCTCCAAGCCCTGGTTCCACAAGCTCTTCAAATTCTTTTCTTATTTTGTTTGGAGACAGGGTCTCAATAGTTGTTCAGACTGGCCTCGAGCTGTGGGCAATCCTCCTGCCTCAGCTTCCCGAGTGCTGTGATTACAAGCAAATAATTTTTGTACTAATAGATGAATCAGTTTTTATGTAAAATATAATTAAAAATTAGCTAAAAGGTTTATTAGGACAGGAAATAGCCTGAGGCAGTAATTTCTTATTTTGTTATTAAGTTTATTGGTACAATTTAGGTGTATATAATGATCACATTCATCATAGAAAATTTTTGTACCTGTGCCTGATATATCTTTTCTTTTCTTTTTTTCCTTTTTGAGACAGGGTTTCACTCTGCAGTTTAGGCTGGCCTCAAACTCACAGTGAGCCTCCTGCCTCAGCCTCTCAAGCGCTGGGATTATAGGCCTGTGGCCACCACTCACAGCCTGCATGATATCTCTTGATTCTTCTTTCTTTTCCATTGTCACCTCCTTTCAACCCCTCTTCCCTTCCTTATTTACAATGCTTTGTTTCCTTTTTTTCCTTTTCTCATTTTCACTTCATGCTTTTCCTTTCTCTTCTCTTTCAAAAATAAGTATTTTATATTTAATATTGAATGCTGTCGTTAAAAATACCTGTACGCTCACAGAAGTGAGCAGAGGTTTAGCTTGCTTATTTTGCTAATTTCACTGGTCTTGCTGCTGGACCTGTAGTCTCCCTTCTGCTCCAATTTTGTAACTTTTGAATTTTTGCAGCAAGAGTAGCACGCTGTCATTAAGCTCATTTTTTAAGTTTTCTACTGAATTTATTGTACAATATTGCTTGGATTGAACACAAACAAGTAATTTGTTTTTTTGTTTTTTGTTTTTTGTTTTTTGTTTGAGACAGGGTCTCACTGTGCAGTTCAGGCTGGCATTGAGCTCACTTTGTAGCCCAGGCTGGTCTCGAACTCACAACGATCTTCCTGCCTCAGCCTCCCGAGTGCCGGGATTACAGGCGTGCACCACCACGGCCAGCAGAAAAAAGTAATTTTTATAACTAGTGTTGAAGTTTAACATAGCCACTCAATACAGTAAAATTACTTTAATCATTTCAGTTTATTACTTATTTGTTTATTTATTTTTGAAGCTGGGTCTCACTGTGTAGTCCAGGCTGGCCTTGTCCTCTGCAGCTTTAGCCTCCCAAGTGCTGGGATTAGAGGCTGGAGCCACCACACCCCGGGTAAACAGCTAGATTGTTTACATGCCCGGAGGCTTTCCTTTCCACAGCTTTATCTGATGGGTGGGGCTCAGAATTGGGCTCTGGAGGGGGAGCATGTCCCAGAGTGGTTTGTTTCTGTCTCAGTGGCACACATCTATAATCCCAGCACTTGGGAGACCGAGGCAGGAGGATCACCAGCAGTTTAAGGCCACACTGGGTTATGCAGTGAGCCCCTGGCCGGACTGGACTACATAGCAAGATCCTGTATCAAGGAAAAACAAAACCAAGCTTGGTGCCACACCAAGCACTTGGGAGGCTGAGGCAGGGGGATCATTTCGAGTTTGAGGCTAGCCTAGACTACATAATGAGTTCAAAACCAGCCTGAACTACACACTGAGACCCTGTGTCAAAAGAAAAAAAAAGAAAGAAAAGAAACAGGATCCAAATAGATGTGATTTATTGCAAGTGGCTAATATTTTTAAGTCTTTTAAATATACATATTCTTTTTCCCTCTTTGCAATTTATTATTGGAGAAATGCGGTCCTTTGTCCTATAGAGTTTTCCAGGCTAGATTTTGCTAATTGTATCCTTTGAGATTTAAGCAATGAATCATACCATGTATTTCCTGAAAATTAGTAGTTAGAGCCTGAAGACTGTTGAGATTCTGATGTTATTTATTCATTTATGTTTTGCAAGTATCCTCTGTAGGAGAGGATTAGACCTGACCCAAGCACATCCTGTCCACTTATCCCTTTGAGGGTATTAGTCACTGGTAATCACTCCTAGGCCCATTAGGGGCTGAACAGTAGTAAATGGTGACAGTCATCTTCTGTCATTTCTCCTGCATTATTTAGCTAGAATGTTCTAGAAAGAGAAGCAACCACGAAGCAAGAATTTTTTGTTAAGATTTTAAGCATTTGTTAAAATTTCCCCATTTGATATCACTTTCTCTATTTTCCACGCTTTCTGGTCTTCTTCAGACTGTATACCTCTCTCTATGTGTGCATTTATTTTGCAGCACTGGGGATGGAATCCGAAGCTCCCTAACCCTGTTTAAATTTGTTATTTGGAGACCAGGTCTTGCTAAGTAGTTACGTTGCCTGGGCTGAGCTGGAATTTGCAGTCCTCCTGCATCGGCCTCCTGCGCACTGGGGTTACAGGCTGTGTATCTATATTTATTCTAGCCATTGAGAAAATATTGTCCTTAAGGGTAAAAAATATATATATATTATTGACCAGAAGCTAGGGGAGGCCCTGTTATTTTTCTTGGCTTTCTGGTACTGGGCAGTGTCAGTAAGTCATTAGCATTCCTGCTCTGGCCAGCACACGACAAAGTACTGGCCAAATCCTGGAAGAATTAGTCAGCTGTTCGGGAAGAGCTGGACCCTGAACCCTGCCTCTGCTGTGTGGGGCATCAGGCTGAAGACTGTCATCTTCTGCTTGCAGGAAGAACCCCCTGGGCGCAAGAAGGCTGCACCACGAGCCAGCAGCCACAGTGTCCCGAAGGGTGAGCGCCGTGTGCGGACCTCGGGCGGCAGTGGAGTGGGGGGGGATTCCCTCCGCTCCCTGACACTTTACCGGGTAGTGAACATTGGGTTAGAGCCCTCGGGGATTCAAAGTATACACACCTTTGTTTGCTTTATCATTTGTTCTGGTTTTGGTGTTCTTTGAGACAGGATGTCACTGTGTACCCAGGCTGGCCTCGAACCCGTGGCGATCCTACTGCCACAGCCTCCTGAGTGCTGGGATTAGAGGCGTGCACCGCCACACCTAGCAGTTTCTGATGTTCACAGTGCTGTTTGGTTCTCCCCGACACTCAGATCCTGCTGCCCACTCCAGGTTTAGAGTGAAAGAGATGTGACTCAGAGACCTGGTTTGGCCTGTGGGGCTTTACCCTGGTCATTCCTCTGAACTTTCCTAGACAACTGGCTCGTTTTAGTTCCCGCGCATGTCACAGTGCAGGTGCTCACAACATTCTTCACGTTTGTCCAGGTGGGATTCTTCTTCAGTCACTTGTCTTGTTAGATGAAGCCTGGCACGGAAACCTAGTAAGATGTTTCCAGAACCGAACACCATAGGTTCGATGGCCTTTTCTTAGGGTTACACTCACGTTTCAGTCAGTTCATCTCTGACAGTGGCATAGTGATAATTCCAGGTGGACTGGGTACCGCTCAATGGTAGGGTGTAGACTTAGCACGGGGGAAGCCCCGGGTTCAAGTCCCAGCCCCAAAATAAGAATAATAGCTGACGTTCGTGAGGTTCTTATTATGAACCAATGTGATCTTTACACAACAGCCATCTTGCATGCTTTGCTGTGTAGAAGCCCTTTGAAATCGGCCCCGTTGTCTCTACATCCCGTGATGAAATGCATCCGGTGAAAGGGAGGCACAGATCCTGATGCTGCTCGCCCCAGGACACACTATCTGACTGCTAAGGCTGGAAGCAGCCTGGGCAGTGAGGTCTGAGTGTCTCTGTGGCCTGGGGCCCCCTCAAGTGACAGTCGGAGCCTGTGACACTGTGCAGGTGACCAGGGAAGGGGTGAAGGGTCCCCAAGACGTTTGTCCTGTGGGAGGAGACAGCAGGTGAGCAGGAAGGTTCTCATGGAGGGGCATAAAGAACTCGCCAAACCCGGATGGCTGACGGTGAGATTGCAGGATGACTCTGGCAGCTGCCAGTTCCTTCTCTCATTCTTCGGACAAAATACCCAATATCTACAACTTACGGAAGGAGAGGTTTTTGCTGGTTCGCCTTTCAGTCCACGGTCAGGTGGCTCCTAGGCAGGACAGCACTGGGGCCTGGCGGAGGGAAAAGCTGCTCAGGGCACGGTGGACAGGAAGCAGGTTGTCCAGGGGGACATACTCTTCCGAGTCAGCTCGCATGGTGGACAGGAAGCAGGTTGTCCAGGGGGACATACTCTCCCTCCTCTTCTGGCCAGGCCCCCTCCCCTGAGAGCAAGTCCACCATGAAACCCCCCATAACCCAGTCACCTCCCTGAGGTCCTGCCCATGCTCGCAGAGGCTTTGGGAGGATACCTAGATCTAAATACGATGGCACCCTGGAAACAAGACCAGACCAGATAGGAAGCTGGCGAGGAAAGGGGTAGGGGTAGGGTGTGGCACACTAGCCATCTCCCCTCGGTCCCTGTGACCCCCGAGTCATGCCTTACCCACACCCTGTGTGCCAATGTACCATGATCCTCTGCAACAGCGGCACTATTCATGGGAGCAATTGCTGGAGATGTTATACTACGTGCAACCCCCTTTCTGGACAGCTAAGCTGTATTTCTTTTGCCTATTGTTTTTAGGCAGAGTCTCCCTCTGTACTCTTGGCTGGCCTTGAATCTGCTATGTAGCTCAGGCTGGCCTCGAAATCCAGATACTCCTGCTTCCTGCGTGTGGTGCCACCCTGGCTGTTTTGTTATTTCACCCGTCATCACGGTGTCGAGGGGAACCTGGGCTCTTGAGGCAGACAGATGTGCACTAGAAGCCTAGTTGTGACCCTCTGGCAGGGGACACCTGGAGAGTCACTTGATCGTCTCCTTTCCTATCTCATTGGTTACCTGGACGTATTATCAGTACCTGGCTTGCAGGTCGCTGCTACTTTATTTATTTGTTTAGTTATTTATTTGCCAATGATAATATAACTTGACATTTGAGATGACAATTTTTGGCACTCTGAGTACCTTTATTCAGCTTTCATCACGGGCAGCAAAGGTATCATGATCTGGTGTCCAGCCTTACTAACAATCAGAGAGAAAGAAAAAAAGAAGATATCATTTTAATTCCAAAAATAAGCACTGTGCCATGATTTGTATAAAATACCAGCCACCTGTCTTTTTTTGCCTTTTGTTTGTTTGTTTGTTTTCCAGTACCGGGAATCAAACTCACGACCTTGCACTTGTCAGGCAGGCGCTGTGCCACTGAGCTAAATCCCCAGCTCCCTCTTTTTTTGTCCTTTTGAGACAGGGTCTTGCTGTGCAGTTCAGGCTGGCCTTGAGCTCACTTTGTAGCCCAAGCTGGTCTCGAACTCACAATGAGCCTCCTGCCTCAGCCTCCCGAGTGCTGAGATTGCAAGCGTGCACCACCATGCCCAGCGTACACCTGTCTTGATCATAGAAGAATAAATTGATCTGGGCCATTAGAAGAGAATTGTGATTCCTGTGAGAACCAGGAGATGCAATCTTTAGGACTGTAGACCAAGAACATAATTAAGATCTTTTCTTTTCTTTTCTTTTTTCTTTCTTTGTCTTTTGAGACAGGGTCTCACTATGCAGTTCAGGCTGGCCTTGAGCTCACTTTGTAGCCCAGGCTGGTCTTGAACTCACAGTGATCCTCCTGCCTCAGCCTCCCAAGTGCTGGGATTACAGGCGTGCAACACCATGCCTGGCAGGCCTGTTTAATTTTGTGATGAATTTCCTACATAAGTCATTTCACACCATCCTGATTCATCATGCTTTGTTGAGATATAGTCTATACACTGCAGTGCTCATACCTCAAGCATATATCATAATGAGAAGTGGAAATTGCTAGATCTGCAGCCTATGACAGACTGTTTCCAAGATAAAGAATATTCACAGCACCCTACAAGGGTCCCTCAGTCCCTTCCTACTCCCTACTCCTCAGAGCGGCCACTGTTCAGAATCCTACCACTGTAGACTCCTGTTTCAGAATTGCTTTGAGTTCTCCTGAGCTTAGCTTTTCCAGCCTGACTCAATGTTTTTGAACTCATGAGTGTTATTGCAGGTATCATGTCGGGGCTTTGGCACAACACAGTTCCCTGATTCAGACATGAGTTCCATTTTCTTTCCACCTTATTTCCATTGCTCTTTCTGGTTTTTTGAGATAGTGTCTTCTTACCTTTCTCGTTGCTGAGACAAAATACCACAAGTTAAGGGACGCCAGTAAGAAGGACATCAAACTTAGTCCTTGTAGGTGACAGCAAGCTCTCCTGGAGGTGTGACTAAATTCTAAAGGGCAGTGGACCCAGCACTCGGGAGGGCGAGGCAGGAAGATCTCCATGAGTTTGAGGCCAGCCTGGGCTACACAGTAAGCGAAAGTGCAGTCTGAACTACCTAGCAGACCCTGTTTGTTAGGCTTGTGTCTAGATATCCCCCCACGGCCTCCCACGGTCATAGGTGGGGATTTTGCCACCCCCAGGTTAAGGGAGGAAAGGTTTATTTGGCTCACAGTCTTTGGAGGTTCAGCCCATGGTTGGCTGGCTCCAAGGCAGGGTGGCACAGCAAAGTGGCATCGCAGAGCAGAAGACAAGCAACAGCAATGAACAAGTGAATGACGAACAACCCCTGACAAGCCTCTTTCTGTCTCTTATATCTTACCTAAGCTACCCAGTGTTGGGGCAGGTGGCACTCACACCCTTAATCCTAGCATTGCATCCTGGACCCCAGCATCACACACCCTAGATCCAGCTCCCTCCGAAAATCCCCACCTGTGACCGTGGGAGGGTGTGGGGGGACATCTAGACACAAGCCTAACAAACAGGGTCTGCTGTGTAGTTCAGACTGCACTTTCGCTTACTGTGTAGCCCAGGCTGGCCTCAGACTCATGGAGATCTTCCTGCCTCGCCCTCCTGAGTGTTGGGTCCACTGCTCTTTAGAATTTAATCACACCTCCAGGAGAGCTTGCTGTCACCTACAAGGACTAAGTGTGATGTCCTTCTGTGTATTTGCATAGAACTGTATACTCAAAAGTAGTCCTCAGCTATGCCTGTTTACTTTTCAATTCCCTTTCCTAGATGTGGACCATGGCTCCTTTGTTTCTTTATTCTCAGCATCAGCACAGTGTCTGACTCAGACATCTGTGAAACGAATTACTCTACAATAAGTTCGTGCTGGGACACCTGGTAGACCTCTCCTTCACGTTCCTTTCGCAGTATGCAATGAGATAGTGATACTCCTATATGTACTTATCAGAGTTTTACCAGCCTCGCTTTAACCAAACTTCTTAGGAAAATGTTTTTATCCAAAAATTTCAATAATGCAACTACTTGGGCGCAGAGTTGAAAATAATTTTTTGTATACTCATTTGCACATTCTATATTTGGAATATAAAATAAAATAGCTGTTCTTCATGATGGCCTCAAGTTGGAAAAAATCCAGATGTCTGTCAAGAGTAGAAGGAGCTCACTGTGGCTTATTCCCGACCTGCGTTTCTAGGACACCCAAAGACACGATCTGTGAGTGCATGTGGTCCGAGGGACTGGTCTCCTGGGCAACTCCAGTCAAAAGAACCAGACCTGACACATGCCTCCTCTGCGCTTCAACTTGCACGTTTGGTTTGCATATAATTTACATCTTTACATCAGTACAAAAGTAGGCAAAACTAATCGATGCTGTTAGAAATCCGGACACTGCTCATTCTGGCTGAGGTTGTGGGTGGCAGGGACCCCAGGGAGCTTCTAGGGGGCTGGTCAGGTCTGTTGTGCCTGGTGGCGGGGAGCAGGCAGGGCTCAGTTAGTAAAAATGTGTAAGGTACACATCTGCCACTTGGGCATGTGTGCACACACAGTTTGTGAATACCACAGGTAAAGCTCAAAAAGTGAAAAGAGTATCAAATTTAAAAAGATCACCTCTGGCTATAACCCAAAAGTTACCTTTGATCACTTTTGCCTTTAAAAAAAATGTAAAAAGAAATTAAAGTGTTTTTGAGGTATATATCAATATCCTTAGATATTGGAATACTAAGTCAAAAAATGTAGAACTTTAGAATAATACAGCATCCACAAACTGCTTTCTAAATTCCATCTCATGCAATTCAGGCTGGCCTTGAACTCACTATGTAGCCAGGCTGGCCTAGAACTCCCAGCAGTCCTCCTGCCTCAGCCTCCTGAGTGCTGGGAGTACAGGTGTGTGCCACCACACTGAGCTAATGCTAAATTTAAAACAGACAATCTCTGGCCATAACACAGAAATTTACCTTTGATCATTTTACCTTAAATAGTCACTTACAAGGCAATCAAAATATTCCTGAGGTACATATTAATATCCTTAGATGTTGAGATACTAGGTCAAAGCATGCGGAACTTTAAAATTATAAGATACCACACAGACTAGTTTCTAAATTCCAAGTCATAATTGCATTTGAAAGCTGGTAGAATTCAACAGGCTCTTCTTGTTCTAAGCACTTTCTTGTTGTCTTTTTCTTTTCATCTTTTTGATTCAGGGTCTCGGTTCAGGCTGGTCTTGAACTCACTTTGTAGCCTAGGCTGGTCTCCATCTTGCAATGATCCTCTTGCCTCAGCCTCCCGAGTGTTGGGATTACAGGTGTGCACCACCACACTCGGCTAAGTACTTTCTAATTCGAGAATTGCAAGCAGTGTGGCCAAGTGTGTTCCCTGAAAATCAAAACTGCGAGTGAGTTCTGGCTTTTCTTCCAGGTTCGAGCTGCCTCCGGTCATCCTGTTCTCCTTCGACGGCTTCCGCGCGGAGTACCTGGACACGTGGGTCACTTTGCTGCCAAACATCGCGAAGCTGAGTGAGTGCTGTGGGTCTGCGTGGGCTGCGGAGGTGGGAGGAGGAGGCCCTGTTCCTTCCTATCCGCAGCTTTGTGCCTTTGTAGCCTGATCCTTCCAAGTTCGTGACAGTTTCACCACACAGTACCTGTGGATTTTCAGTAGGGACAGGATTTTCATATGTGTTGACTCCTACTTTTTGTTTGTTTTTTGGCAGCTGGTTCTTCTTTTCATTTTATTTTGATTTGTTTCGTATTTGAATATAATATCTGTCCAGTGGAAATCTGTTCATACCTACTATCTTTTGTTTTGAGACAAGGTCTCACTATGTAGTTCAGGCTGGACTTAAACTCGCTATGTAGCTCAGGCTGCCCCTGAACTCATGCCAGTCCTCCTGCCTCAGTCTCCTAAGTATGGGGATTATAGGCTTGTGGCACCATGCCCAGGTTTATGATAATTTTACTGGGCATCCACCCAGAAGTTACATTGTTGTATCATTTGTTCTAGTTTTATTTATTTATTTTTCTGCGTTTTTGCAACAGGGTTTCACTATGCAGTTCAGACTGCCCTTAAACTCACTTTGTAGCCCAGGCTGGCCTCGAACTCACAGCAATCCTCCTCCCTCAACCTCCTGAGTGCTGGGATTAGTCATGCACCAGCATGTCCTGCTTGGCTCTGCGTTTTCTCATGAAATGAAAAGAATACAAGCCAGATGTGGTGGCACACACCTGTGCTCCAGCCATCAGGAGGCTAAGGCAGGAGAATCGTTGTGAGTTCAAGGCCAGCTTGAACTGCATAGTGACACGCTGCCTCAAAAAAACTCCATAAAATCAAAAAATAAGTCTAGATCTAATGCATCCTTCTGTTGATTCCAGCTCTAAGATTACCACAATTGTAGAAAGATAATTACTGCACTTTCCCTGGAATGCAAGGGACATTGTTTTCAGCTTCTCCCTTGCCCTGTGAGGCTGGTCTTTAGGAAAGAGATCGAGAATTTTCCAAATCCAGGACTTACCACTTCCTGCTGACTGACACTGGCTCGGAAGGTGAACCAACACCTCTGTTTCTACTTAATTATCTAAATTTATCTTGATAGTGTGGTGGTTAAATCCCAGGTCCAGAGAGAACTGGACAAGCCAGGCTGAGCCGAATTCCCTCTCACGTGGAATTCTTTGGTTTTCTCATCCTGTTGAAAATTGGAAACAACACGAATGAAAATGTGTTTGGGCCATTGAGAGCTTTCTGGGTTCCAATGCTTAAAATAGTTTTAAGCAGACGGGCATCACTTTATGCTCCAGTCAGACGGGCATCACTTTATGCTCCAGTGCGAAATAGCATAAGTCCTGACCTCTGCCGGGTCAGCTACTTCCTTGCTAGTGCCTGGGCCTGAGCAAGAGCAGGTGTGAGATGGGGTCAGGGCTCTGGTGGCCCGAGGGTGAGACTGCGACAGCAGTGTCCCATGAAGGAAGCCAAGAGGGAAGCTCGTCCCTCACGGCCCCTCCCTGCCTGGCTGCGGCCATGGAGCTCTCAGGACCCGGGAGTCTGGCATGACTTGGGGCTTGGGGACCCCGTGCTCAGATGACTCTCAGTGAGGCAGGGACTTCTCTGAGTGAGGGCAGGAGACACAGAAGGGGCCGGAAAGGCCAGGGCAGGTCCAGGGAGACAGAGGAGGTGGCCTGAGCCAGAAGCCAGGCTCTGGGAAAGCAAGGTGAGAGACTGTACTGCAGATAAACAAGACGGGAAGCACCAGCAGACCCAGCAGGCAGTGTGTGTGGACCTTGGATGAGAGACGGCAAGGCTGGCTCCCCGGACAGTCAGCCTGTTACGTTTCCACACCAGGTACCGTCCACTTTGCATCCTATTTATTTTCATAAGAACACTTAACATGAGATAGACCTTCTTTGGAATTTAAGTGTAAAACACAGTGTTTTTGCTTGGTGTGGTGATGAACGCCTGTAATCCCAGAAAGCTGAGGCAGGAGGACTACTGTGAGTTCAAGGCCAGCCTGGGCTACATAGTGAGATCTTGTCTCAGAACAAAACCTAAAGCAAAAACATAACACAGGATCGTTCTCTATCCACGCAGGCTTGCACAGCAGCTCCTGAGAACTTATTTTACAAGACTGAAACTCTCTACTGGTTAATGATTTCACGTTCCACCCCCGCCTCCCCCCGGCTCATATCATTCTGCATTTTGCTTTTATGATTTTAACTGTTTTAGATGTACATGGATAGAATCATGCAGGATTTGTGTTTCTGAGGGTTGCTGTAGGTTGGGGGCCAGCCTGGACTTACACTGTGAAATCCTGTCTTTCTTTTCATTTTTGGTTTTTTGAGACAGGGTCTCGCTCTATAGTTCCAGGGTGCCCCTGAACTCACTCATCTCAAAAAGTGATCCTCCTGCCTCAGCCTCCCAAGTGTTGAGATTACAAGCATGCACTGCCACGCCCGGTGAGATCCTGTCTTAAACCCCAAATTGGGGTCATTTAGAGGTAACCGGGGGATATATTTTTTTTTTTTTTGATACCGGGAATCAAACTCAGAACCTTGCGCTTGCCAGGCAGGCGCTTGTGCCGCTGAGCTATATCCCCGGCCCTGTAACTGGGGATTGAACACAGGACCTTCACACTGAGTCACTCTCCAGCCTCTTTTTTATTTTTACTTTGAGACAGGGTCTTGTTAC